TCTTCTTAACATTCTTGGGCTCTCAGTTCCCTTCGACAAAGACTCAGTCTCTAGAAATTTTCCAGCAGAAGAGGACCCTGAGGGATTTTTATCAGTCTGTCTCAGATTGCTCGAACTTCCGAATGGCATTGTGACCCCTGGTGTGTTGCCAGGTTCATTAAAAGACTTGTGATTTTACTTTGGGTTCATTCAGATTTTTATTAGAACCATCTTCTCTTAGGAAAGAAGGTTCCAAATGCGGCATCGAGATGTAGTTTCTTTGGGGGGTAAACCATTTCTAAATAAAAACAAAGCACTGAGCACGAAGCTGTTTCAACCGGTTTTCTTTGCAAGGCATAGTAGATGATGCAGCTGCTGCAGGAAATGGGGATTTTCCTGTATCTCTAGGGTGAACACCTTGTCTAAGCATAGTCATTTCGGAGCCACTATTTTGCCTGCCAGTCTGAGATATTTGATGTCCATCAGATAAAGTAGTTGAACTCGAGATAACTTGTTCGTTCATTGGGAACGCATTAGCAGGAACCGCCACCCCTCCATGATCCCTAGCATAAGCACCTTGCTGCTGCTTCCTTGGAGCAATATGTGCAGAGGAAACTTCCATGTTTTCTGGATACTTTGAAGTTGGAGCCCGCACCATTGGATTGCTAATCTTTGTCAAATCGGTTTGCTTCACTGGAATCTGTGCTTGCCATGCTACGTGAGCTATGAGTCTACCAAGAACATCTCTGAACTTGGCTAAGGTAAGTCTTTCCTGCTCTGCATAAGTATCTGTGCCTTCATCAGAATTGGAAGACTTCTGAATCATGTTATGTTTAATATTGTCAACCGCAACTCTATTTGCAGAACCAGTACCGAAAAACATCCCGACTTGTTCATCACACGTCAATTCAAGTGTTTCCGGTGACAATGGCCTATTACAAATGTCAATATCAACTGCATCTGTTTCGTCTTTATTTGCGTGATTCTCACAAACAGGTTTGACAACTTTTCGACTGTCTTGAAACAATTGAGTTGATGAAGCAGTAGAAGCTTCAGATTTCCTGGTCTCTACTTTTCTAACTTCTTTCCCTCTCATTTCTGCATTTTTGTAGCTTCTCCAAAGAGAACAACTAAAACTGAACAAAGATTCTTCACAGAATCTGTGTATGGAGGACATCAGCCAACACAGACCTGTATGTAGATCTTGAAGATCCCGGAATTATCGTGTTGGCAGTGTCCGAAACGCAGGGAGCTGACAGGGATAAAAGAGATGAAGCTGTAAGGTCAAGTTCCTTATTAGTTTCACATGCTTTAAAATCCAAACACACTGAATTTGAATGGCGACCCTGTTGGTATTGAGCAGTCATTTTAACAGTTTGATCTATGGATGCTTTGCCAGAAAGTATTTCTGGGATTTTCCTCTTCTTGGGTGTTATGACGGGTCTGGGAGTAGTGCCTTGCAGATCTGACCCTTTAATAGTATTAGTGTTCCGTCTGCGTTGCCTTCTTGCAGGTTCATTATGTCCGACTAATGTTTGTTCAGGATATTTTCGCTTCTCTCGAATTCAGTATGGCAACAGCAGCCGGTTGACCCTTGAGCATCAAGCTGGAAGGACTGCCAGTAGCAGTTCCAGTCCCAGTTTCGGAGTCAGTTGCTCGAGGACTACGATTGCGTGAGTCGGCTGGCTCACCACTATCAGCAGAGCAATCACTGAAGACTGAAGTGTTGACAATATCTCCATCCAGATCTACAGGATTTGTCCCACAGCGTATGCATGCAGGTTTCGGAAGCGGAAGAAACAATGATGACTTGAATGACTTTTCCAGTCTTGACTTTGCTGATATACTAATTTCAGAATCCACCTGACCTATACTTGAAGGATGCAGACCAGGAAGCGGAAGCGGTTGAGCATGTGGCCTTTCAGCGAAACTTTGACACCTTGCTACCTTGGAAGATGAAGGCGATCTTGATTCGGATGGAGAACGATCTCCTTTCTCTGAAGTCGTGTCATTGCTTCGTCTACGAGATCCTCCAGATCCAGTGCTTAATTTATCATCAGGTGGAAATTTAAATTTTCGGTGCAAAGTGTCAGTAATACTTTCCTTACCTGCTTTCTTCCTGTTTTTTTTTTGATGATAATTTTCCCTACCATGTAGGCACGTTCGCACTTTATAAATTGGGATCTCACAAGCAGGTTTCTTGGAAGGATATTGATAATAGTTTAAAAAAAATATCATTTCACGCCAGTAGACAGATTCTTAAAAGCCATGATCCAGCCATAGAAGATTCACAATTTCCAGAAGCAGTTGTGCTAGAATGAGAAAGGAATCAGATATTGAATGTTACGGCCACAAACAAAACTTCAATTAGTCAAATCATTGAATCTGAAGTGAAAATCTATTGTGTAATTTTGAGCTCAAATCTGAGGATGAAGTGGTTCGGAAGTCCTCGAGTGAGGCTTAAAAGAGACACAGAAAACTGAAAATGTGAGAAATGGAGAAGGATTTTGTAGTGACAATATTCGCAATTGAAAGACAGTGAAAGAGATCGCATAGAGAATGAGAGACCTGGAGAGAGAAAGTGTTGGGGAGAGAGAGAGTGAATGGGCTTCTTGTGTAACATTTCTTGTATTGGTCATGATATATTTTTTGATGAACGTATATGGATTCAAATAATATGCTTGAAACAAAATAATGGATTCTTTAGTGATTCTCTTGCAAATTACTTGAATCATAGGTTTTAGTAATTCAATAAGTCTTTGAAATAAATCTGCAATGCCCTGACTTATTCCATTTCTTGATTAGAAAGCAATCATAATTGAAATCACAAATAATTGCGTGTTCTCAGTTAAAACTACTCTCAAATCTTCCCTGACCTGGATGATACTTTGAATTAGTCCTTGAGCATTAAAGTCAGTCACAGAACAAACTCAATCATGAGTCAATTGTCAAATCATTCTTGATGTTTGCCATTTGAAAACGTGATGAGTTGAAGCCTTCATGGAACACTCCATTTAAATCAATGCATCATGACCTTGATAACGAGGTAGATCTCTTTCTTGCTGATGAATTAAGTCAATCCTGGACTTCGACGTACACTTCACTCATTCCTACTTAATGAACCCCAACCAAAACCTATCCAATTCGGCTCAATCTTATGATGGAAGCAACATATATTTTTTTTATTTTTTCTGCCCCTGACAATCACATATGCTTATCTGTTTGTCTTCAAGGACCTTGACTTGTCCCTGATAAGGGTAACCACTTGGTGACTTGAATATAGCCTCCTTGATCAGATTAAAAAACCATTGGTAATTTTTGTTAGACACACATTTCTTGATCCCCTGTGAAATGCAAAATGCTATGTAATGCAATGCTTACGTATGTACTGATGCAATGAAATAAAACATAAGCCAGAGAGGTCGGTCAAATTTTGGGGTACAACACTTGGCGAACTCGATGCAGTGTTTTAACATGGTAGACCAATACATGCCTTGACGAAATAATAACCATTTCATCTTATGGCCTACTTGGTGCGCCCCACATGTCCCATTATGGACTGTCGATAGGGTCAGATATGTCTCAGATTCACTAAGGAATTTAAGCAAGACCCCCTCAGAGGTATTTTTGAATAGCTCATTTCCTAGAAGAACGTAGCTTAGAGCTTGATACTTAATTTTTCGCTCTGTAGACGCTGATGGGCTTCGTAGGTACTCGACCAAAGATTTCCTCCAGTCTTTATCCGTCAAACCATCCACCACGAAAATTTCAAAATTTTCTTCGTCAGCATACCCAAACTTCGTTACTTCTAGATCTGATGGATGTAATCCAACAGACACAACTTTACCTCTAACTTCGATTGCTTCCTGTAGGTTTTCTTTCGAAACCTTATACCCAGAGGCAATTTGTGCTAAGTCGTTTGCTACTTGATTCTTTAGTCGAGGTATATGTCGAATGATTGATATTTCAAATTTTTTCAGTAACCTGTTGGCTATTACAAAGTACATGATGAGATTTTCTTTAACACATTTGTACTCCTTTATTATTTGCTTGATAACCAACTCTGAGTCTCCCATTATTTCGACTCGCGTTGCTCCCAATTCTAACAAAATTTCAAATCTTGCTAACAAGGCCTCGTATTCAGCCTCATTATTGGAGCAAAACCCTTCGACTTTATACTTAAATTTTGTTGGAATTTTATCAGGCGGAATAATTAACAAACTAATGTCTGTCCCCTCTTTATGGCTGGAGCCATCGAAGTATTAATATTATAAAAAACGTTAATAATAATTTTATTTTTAAATAATTAAATTTCTATAGACTAATTAATTTTTTAAATTTAATTTCATATTAATTTTTTGTTTATATATTTTACTGATATTATATTATATTACATTTATTTTTTATATTTAAATTATATTTTATAGATTTAAATTATTTATTTATATTCTTATTCTATCTTGCTAATTTTTAAGCAATTAAAATTTCAAATAAAAATAGTAATTAAAATGATATAATAAGATAACTTTTAAAATTAACTTATTATATTTTGACAATTCACAAATGGATAATTAAAAAATTTTAAAATTTTAAAAATTATATCATCAATACATTTTAAATCCTATCGATTTTTCATATTTTTTATCCAATCAATACATTTTATTCAAATCAGTTTAAATTTCTATCGAATAATTGCATTCAATTATTAAAAGGTTTGATCTGAATACATATCTCTTATTCTTCTACTAAAGGGGCCCTTAGTACGCAATTCATTTTAGTATATTTTGTGACAAATTATTTTCTAAATATTTTTTTTTAATTAGAAGGAATATTTCAGTTTAAAATATTAATGAATATGTGAATATTTCATCGAAAAAAAGCTTGAACCACAGAACGTGCGGCTGGTCTTATCCTAGTCTTAATGATTGACGAGAACTAGTAAGGAACCCAACCAGCTGAAGTTAGTGCACTCACCTAAAACTAAAACCAATTTCTGTTTTCCTCTCTTCCATTCCAACTTCATGGCGGCCGCAGCTGTTGGTGAAGCATTTCTGTCTGCTTTCATTGAAGTTGTTCTCGACAAGCTTGCTTCTCCTCAGGTTGCTAACTCTATCATAGGAAAGAAACTTGACGTCAATTTGGTTCAAAGGTTGAACAACACTCTTTTTGCTGTTGAAGCTGTGCTTAATGATGCTGAACACAAACAGATCAAAGATTCTGCTGTTAACAAATGGCTTGATGATCTCAAAGATGCTCTCTATCTTGCTGATGACCTTCTCGACCACATCTCTACCAACAACAACAACAAGGTCAGTACTGTTAACTACTTCTCTCGCCTTTTCAACTTTGAGGAAAGGAATATGGTTTGTAAGCTGGAAGATATAGTTGCTAGGCTCGAATACATTCTTAAATATAAAGATATTCTTGGCCTTCAACATCTTGCAACTAACCACTCTTCTTGGAGAACTCCATCAACCTCTCTAGATCACCCATCTAACATATTTGGTAGGGATCAAGACAAACAGGCCATACTCAATTTACTCTTAGACGATGATGATGATGTTGATGATAACATTTCTGTGATCCCCATAGTTGGCATGGGTGGGGTGGGAAAGACTACTTTAGCCCAATCTGTGTTCAACCATGATAGTATAAAGCAGAAATTTGATGTTCGAGCATGGGTTTGTGTTTCTGATGATTTTGATGAACTCAAGGTAACCAAGACCATCTTAGAGGCAGTGGCAGGGAGTTCTTGTAATATAAATAACAAAGAGTTACTTCATCTTGATTTGAAGGAAAGACTCTCTCAAAAAATGTTCTTGATTGTTTTGGACGATGTATGGACGGAAGATTATGACAGTTGGAACTCTCTTATAAGGCCTCTTCAATATGGAAATAAGGGAAGTAAAATTCTTGTAACAACCCGTATTGATAAAGTTGCTTCTATGGTCCAAACTTTTCATGCTTACCCTCTTCGCCAATTGTCTGATGAAGATTGTTGGTCTGTGTTTGCAAACCATGCATGTCTTCCTCAACAAGATTCCAATGAGTATATGGATCTCCAAAAGACTGGCAAAGAGATTGTTAGAAAATGTAAGGGATTGCCTTTAGCAGCACAATCACTTGGGGGCTTGTTGCAACGAAAACATGATATTAGGGATTGGAATAATATACTAAATAGTAACATTTGGGAAATCGAGAGTAAGATCATTCCAGCACTAAGAATTAGTTATCATTATCTCCCTCCCTATTTGAAACGTTGCTTTGTTTATTGTTCCTTGTATCCTAAGGATTATGAATTTAATAAAGACAAACTGGTTTTGTTGTGGATGGCTGAAGATCTTTTACCGTCTCTAAAAAATGGCAAAACTTTACAAGAAGTTGGTTACGAGTATTTTAGTGACTTAGCTTCAAGATCATTTTTTCAACGTTCTGGAAGTGGGAACCAATACCGCCATTTTGTGATGCATGACCTGGTGCATGATTTAGCAACATTGCTTGGTGGAGAATTCTATTTTAGAACAGAAGAACTTGGGAAAGAAACGAAGATCAGTACCAAGACTCGCCATTTATCATTTATTCAGTTTAGTGATCCTGTCTTGGAAAACTATGATGTTTTCAGCAGAGCAAAAAACCTTAGGACATTTTTGACCATCGGTTTTAGATTTCATCGAGTCAACCATGAAAAGGCACTATGCATGATTTTGGAGAATTTGAAGTGTTTAAGAGTTTTGTCATTAGAATCATTTTTAGATGTTCACACATTGCCTGATTCAGTCGATGAACTGATCCATTTGCGTTATTTGGACCTCTCTTGCACAGCTATACAGACATTGCCGGAGTCATTGTGTAATCTGTATAACCTACAAACGTTGAAGTTGCATAATTGTACACAACTAACCATGCTTCCCAATGACATGCAAAATCTTGTAAATTTGTGCCATCTTGATATTGGTGGAACTAATGAGTTAGAAGAGATGCCTAAAGAAATGAGCAAATTAACTCATTTGCAACATCTGAGTTGCTTTGTTGTGGGCAAGCATGAAAAGAATGGGATCAAGGAATTGGGAACACTTTCAAATCTTCATGGATCACTTGTTATTAGTAAATTGGAGAATGTTACCAACAGCTTGGAAGCATCAAAGGCGCATATCATGGATAAGAAGTACCTTGAGGAATTATCGTTTAAATGGTCCGAAGACGCAAAGGACCATTTTACAAATTCACAAAGTGAGATGGATATTCTTGGCAAGCTACAGCCTTGTAAGATCTTGAAAAGGCTAATTATAGATGGATACATGGGTACGAGATTTCCAAAATGGGTTGGAGACCCTTCCTACCACAACTTGACCGAGTTATCCTTGTATCGTTGTCATAATTGTTGCATCCTTCCACCACTTGGACAATTACGCTCTCTCAAGAACTTGGAAATCCGTGCAATGAGTATTCTGGAGACTATTGGATCTGAATATGGTGATTCCTTTTCAGGAATCCTCTTTCCCTCCCTTGAATGTCTGAAGTTTCGTGAGATGCCATGTTGGGAAGTGTGGCATCATTCTCATGATTCAGATGTTTCATTTCCTGTATTAAAATCTCTTGCGATTATTGATTGTCCTAGATTGCATGGAGGTTTCCCATCTCATCTTCCTGTCGTGGAAACAATTAAGATTGAACGTTGCAACCAAGTTGACTCTTCTCTCCCAAGGGCTCCTGCCATACGCATGTTAGATATAATTGAAAGCAATAAAGTAGCCTTGCATGAACTACCCATATCATTGGAAGTATTAAGAATTCAAGGAAGGGAAGTGACTCAGTCCGTCTTTGAAGCCATTACCATCAGCCTAACATCTCTTCAAATTTTAGATATCAAAGACTGTTCATCTGCAATATCATTTCCGGGAGATTGTTTACCCCTATCCTTAAAGACGCTGTTCATCATAAATTCTAGTAATCTAAATTTTCCAAAGCAAAACCACCAACATGAGTCACTTCAGTATTTGAGGATAGATGGAAGTTGTGATTCTCTCACAACCCTCCCACTGGATATCCTTCCAAACCTCATCTATCTTCGAATCCATAATTGTAGAAACATAGAATGCCTTTCAGCTTCGAAAATTCTTCCAAATCTCATTGATATTGATATCAGAGGCTGCCCTAAATTTGTATCATTCCCAAGAGAAGGATTGTCTGCGCCCAGCTTGACATCGTTGTCTGTCACCCGCTGCCTTAATTTAAAGTCATTGCCTTGTCACATGAATACTCTTGTTCCAAAGTTAAAAGAGATGTACATACATGATTGCCCAGAGATGGAAACATTTCCTGAAGGTGGTATGCCACCTAGCTTGAGATCACTTCGTGTTGGAAATTGCGAGAAATTATCGAGGAACCCATCTCTATCTTTCTTTGACATGCTTTCCTCTCTTTCAATTGAAGATCTATATAATGGTGTTAAGTCCTTTCCTAACAATGGTTTTGCATTGCTGCCTCCCTCCCTTACCAATCTACATCTTTCGAGCATGTATTGTTTGCACACGTTGGACTGCAGAGGGCTTCTCCACCTGAAGTCTCTCAAACAATTAACAATTGGATCTTGCCCAAAGCTGGAGAATATGACGGGAGAGAGGCTGCCTGCATCTCTAATAGAACTTGATATTATTGGTTGTCCTCTGTTGGGAGAACGATGCCTCAAAAAACATTCTCAAATTTGGCCCAAAATTTTACACATCCAATATATTAAGGTTGACCGCAAATGGATTTAAGAAGCTCAAACTTGAATTTTAAACAGGTAATTCAATTTATACTTATAATTCAAATTTTTTACAACCTTGTGCTGGATTATAAATAGTTGGCCGCCGCTTATAACTGTGTTTTCTTACTTCATATATTGAAATCTGATAGTGAGAGATGTTGAGACTCTTACCTTGTTTTTTCTTATATGCAATTTATGTTGAAGTAAAGTTTTATTTGCTAATGCAGTTGCCAGAGTCGCATTTTGAAGGCCTTGCACACATCCTCAGCTTTTGATGGTCTTTGCTACTGATTTGGAATGAAAGGATGCTGCCTGTTGGTAATAGAGTTGTGCTTCTGCATGTTTGATTTATGGCTCTATGAATAAGGGTTCTTTCTGGTTTTACAACTTCCATGTTTTAAACAAGTGGTAGCTTTTGTTTATCATTGAGGTGTGGTACTTTAACATCTAGGTTTAGATTAACAAAAATGACGAACATGAAGAAATTTTACTCGTTGATTATGTCACTAATCTTTTTAGTCATTGATTTTCTAGATTTTGATTTTTTTTTATACATTTAGATTTTATGATATTGTACTTTTTTGTTATATGCAGATTTTATGATTTTCTTAGTTTTTATAATTAATCACTTTCACTTAAGGTGTGATATTTATTTATTTTAATAAAATTATTTTTACATGTAAAAATCATTTTTTGATAATTTATTTATTTTAATTTTTAATTTATACTCAGAAAATTTATCTATTTATTCTTTAAGATAATTAATTTAAAATAGAGTTAAATAAATGTTACCCCTCCCAATGTATCTCTAAATTTTAATTTTTTTTTAAAACTTTTTCCTTTAAACGTTTTTTTTAAATTGTTATGTTAATAATTTTAATAATTAAATAAATGATAATAATTGTAATTTATTTAATTTAGAATCAATTATTACATATGGTAAAATATAACATTTGGGCTTAATACCCACATTTTTTTTCCAAAAGCAACCCAATACTTCAAATTCATTATGGGTAGTGTGAAAAAGGTATATAAACACTATTATTTGCTAACCCATATTCAATGTGGGACTCTATTATTTGTGGGGAAAAAAGTCTGTTGAACTCAAGTATTTCAACAACACAATACATGCATGCCTACGTATACAGTAAGAACAATTATTCTAATAGCTTTTTGGTGGTGTATAATCAAATAGATAACAGTAAGATAATGGAAAAACAATGTCAAGAGCTTCTGCAAATTAATTGTGCATTATCCTTTGAATGTTCAATGGAAGCATCTACAGGTTATTCTCAAATCTTTCATACTGTGATTCTAGTACCAATGCAAAGGTTATGTTCAATCCACAGTGTTTTAAAATGTGTGGTATCGAGACAATAAGAAGATGCAAAGGTTATGTTCAACCCACATCTCTTTCAAGGCATGTGATTCATAAGAAAACTAATTAATCAAAGCTTGGTTTGAAAATGTGTGGTATCAAGACAATAAGAAAATGATTCTTGCTATAATATTAACAAACATAATCTACAGAAAATTATCAAACATTAAATCAAAGATACTATCATTCAAATATATGAAGTCATTATCGTTTAAAGTGCATGTTTCATATTAAAGACAACAAAAACTCCTGCATGTTGAAGACAACAAAGACACGTTCATTTTTTAATAATCAAATTTAAATGCCCTAGCTGGCATAAAGTTACTCCAACTATAAGGTGCTTCATCATCATCATCATCAGAATCGAAGATAACTCTCCTCCTTATTCTTCTTCTTGATCTCCTTATCTTGATAGATCTCCTCGGTCTCAAAGATCCTCTTTTAACTACTGCTTGGTTCTGAGGAGAGTTTTGCATAGCCACCGCCTCTTGGGCTTGGATAGCTTCTTGGACCTAGACAGCTTGTTAGACTGTACAGCTACTTGGACCTGGACACCTTGTTGGACCTCTACAGCTTCTTGGATCTAGACAACATTTTTGGATCTCATTTTGATTATTCCTCTTTAATGATTCTTTTTGTATGTTGGTAAGAAAAAGAATACCATTTTTAAAATGGTGCTTCTAATTCTTCCTCTTCTCTCTACTTTGAAAATCTAAAAGTTTTTGTTGAAAGTCATTATTACTTCTTTAATTCAAAATGTTATATTCTCTTGGATGTGGAGAAATTTTATAGACTCTGTTATTGTAGCAGCTATTAAATCCATGTGAGATATCATTACTTTTGATAGTGTGGCCCTTAAAGTTTCAACATACACATAAAATTCCACATGTTCTTAAACAAGCCACGTTGCATGTTACCCTACTGTCACTGTGAGAGTCGGAGACCATAAATATTAAGTTAACTAGGATTCACAAATCATAATTCACCACCGATCTTTAATTTATCCAAGAGAAGGGAAAAATAACGAATAAGCCCATAAAGTATGCAACGCAATGCAAAGCAATAAAGAGAATCTAAAGTTCGGGGGTTAATTATACCTAGGGAAGGTGCTAGAATCCTAAGTATATGTAGTACTCTACAGGAACCTCTTGTCTTAATGTGTTATTTGTTATCTTCTTGCTAAGGGTAAAATGGAAAGGGAGATCTAAGGTACTACTCTTAAGTATGCTCGCCAAGACGTCGCATCGCGTGCCTACGTATCCTGACTAGGATAGAATCAGAGCATTCGTAGTTCCCCTCACTACGGGTGAACATAGTGTATTGATTAGTTTTAGGAGAAGAGACAAGTTGTCATATTAAGGAGAATACTCAACTTAAACCACCACAAACATATGGAAGATGGATCTTTGCTTCACATTAAGAGAAGGACTCCAACTCGGATATAGAATCAACGAGTATGCCACTTACCTCCCTCAAGTGGAAAAGAAATCAACATCTTACTCAACTATGTCATGGGGTAAGAGAATTACATCTCAACTAGGGATGACTCACGTCTAATTCTCTCATGGGAGAAAAGGGAACCTAATTGTAGGTTGTCTAAAGTTGAATCAATCCTAAGAGGACTAGCCCAAGGATACAGACTAAGTGTTAGTCTAAGGGGAGAAATCTAAGTATATACACTAAGGTAATCAACCTAAAAGGGGAATATGAATCAAGTCAAGAAGTGAGAAGAATAGGGAAATGCAAAAGAAATGCAATGCACATGAAAGTATAGTCAATAAAAATTCCTTCCCTTGGACCTACAACATAGGCAACCAAAGTATCAAAAGAATATAGATGATGGATATTGTTGTACCCCAAAATTTGCCCAACCTTCTCTTTACCTAGCTTGTGTTTCATTGCATTTTCATAGCATTAGCATTTGCATACCATTGTCCATTTGCAGGGGATTGAGAGAGGTGTGCTTATCAAGAGGAGATTATCAAAGGTCTAAGCCTAAGCAGGAGGTTGTATTCAAGCTACCAAGTGCTTATTATCACCAGAGGAATGTCAAAGCTCATTGCAGGAGTGGATGGTTGAGACTGGTGTGTCTCCTATCTTAGGGGTCAATTGAAAGTCATCAGAGGATTATGAGTTCATGTTTATGGATAGGGAATATTATATAAGCTCATTGTATGTCTTGAGGGTTATTATAGAGCTTATCCAGGTCATTATACCATGTGCAAGAAGCCATAGTCAAAGGTGGTGCAGTTAGGGTTTTCATCTGGTCAACCCTAAGTCAACTGTGAATTTAAAGGAGATCAAGACTCAATTCCAAGTCTTTATGATCATGGAATGTTATGATGAGACATGTCATATATCATTTCAAGATCAATTCATCAAGATTCAAGAGTGTGAGAAGTTGCTAAACTAGGGTTTCTAAGCTTGTCAGTGTAAAATCCCCTATTTAGTGCCTAACTTCAAGACCACATTTCTCAAGATACAAGTTTCATCTCATCTTGACTCCAACACAAGAATTTTAGAGCATGTTTCTAGCTTTCTTTTGAGTACTATAACTCATACATTGGGTTTCTAGAACTCAAGTTATGATGCTTACAAGTTATGGGTCCTCAGATGAATGTGATTTTGGTCAACAAAAGTCAACTAACTTTCAAGACATTTTTGACCTAGAAGGATGTTCCACCTCACTTTGACCCAAACATGAAAGTTTTCCCTTATGATCTTAGCTTTCCAAAAAGTCCTAGAGATCCTTCATCTGATTTGTGAAGCTTAAGATATGAAGCTTACAAGGCAGGGGTATTTTGGGAAACTTTGATTATAGGCCATTTTTATTATAGGTCAACTTCACAATTTTGCATAGCTCAAATGGAACTTTTTCCAACATCAAACTTGCTTTAAATGGCATCCTTTTCATCATCAAATCATCACCTATCATGGGTTTGGCTTGAATTGGAAGAATGGTGGAAGAAAATTCATGAAAAAGTACTTAAGAGGCCTAATTTGGATCAAGATCATTTTAAATCATATAATGGCATGTTTATGCTATTTTTGATTGCCTTGAATGTGCTAAACATGATGCCAATTTCAGAAATCAAGTTTGAGGTCCAAAACCATGTTAAATTCAAGGTTGCTTCACCATGAAGGTACACATTCAAGATCTACCATTAAGATCAAAACAAGGAGCCAATCTTGTTCATTGAGTTACCTTACATCACAAGCAACATGTATGAATCAAGTTGGAGGTTGTTTGAACCATTTTCATGGGTGAATTTTGAAGCTTGCACATCAAAATTTTGGATTTTTAATTGGACCGAAGCAGGCTTTGATTGGGCCTCAATCCAATCTGGATCCATCACATATATACTCAGGATCCTTCACAAGCTCTCAGAGGTGGATTTTCATGGAGAATTGATCAGAAATCAGTTACACACGAGCAAGGAAAAGCGGAGAAGTGAAATTAATAACCAAGCAGTTTCAAGCCAAATTAAGATTGCCAAAAGCACCATTGAAGATCAAGGAACATTTCTGGGTGGTTTTACACGAGCTTTAGTGCCAAATCAAGACCCAACGGAGGTTCTCCGTTGAGTAAGTTATTCCTCAAAAATTCTCAATCTTTAAGTAGCTAGCACATG